TGTTCTGTGTGCTCCGTAGAATTTATGAATTTTAGTGTTATTTATTTATTTATTTATGTTTTATTTATTTCTGAAAGATAGAGAGAGAGAGAGAGAGAGAGTGCGACAGTGTGAGCAGGGGAGGATCAGAGAGAGGGAGATACAGAATCTGAAGCAGGCTCTAGGCTCTGAGCTAGCTGTCAGCACAGAGCCTGATGCGGGGCTTAAACCCACGAACCGTGAGATCATGACCTGAGCCGCAGTCAGACGCTTACCGGACTGAGCTACACAGGTGCCCCACTGTTTGTTTTATAATGGGATATGATGCTCAAATCCTTGGAGTCAGGATGTTGTGAACAGGCAGATCCACCTGGAAGTTTTTCTAGTTCATTTTGGGTGGGTCTTATATGTAAAACGTAAAGGGCTCACAAGAAAGAAATAAGATTACTTGTTGAGCCTTATGAAGAAAACAATCTGCTTCTCTTTTGAAAAGGCCGCCATAAATTACTACGAAATGTGATTATTCTAATACTAGAGGCGGACTAACCCAAGAGGGAATAAAAAATACACATCCATGGGAAGGTTAACCTCATTAATCCCTTTTTAAAAATGCTTACTTTGTGAAATGTTTTGAGATACCATGTTGTCTACACACACAATTCGAGTGGCTATTGTTATGAAGACTATTATGATTCTGCAGGCCAGGTTGACTTCTAGGGAACCCACAGCTAATAAAAGAGCAACTTTGTATTCTCCGGAATGTCAAGTCCTCATAGGATAAATAGATTAGAGATATTGGAATTGAAGAAGAGCAGTTCTATGTAATCACACCAAAAAGGCCTGTTCTTCATGGTCCAAAACGGCACTTCCAATTTTCTGAGAGACTACATAATTTATGTATTTATTTGTTTATTGTCAGTTTCTCCCACTGAGATATAAGTTCCGTGAACTTCGGGAGCTTTTGTTTTGCTTTCTGTTGTATCTTCCATGCCTGCCACCTAGTTCGTGAAAGGTTGACATAGGTAATGATCTAAGAACAAAGGGTAAAAATATGCGAAGGCAGATTTTTGGTTCAAAACATAGACTTTTGTAATTATGTATACTATCTGTAGGCTGGGTCAGTAAGTGGTGCCTTCTCTAGAACTACAGCTGGGTCCAGAGGACTGTTGGGCTGGGACATTTTCGGGGATGACACAGTGTGGGTGTATGGCTGACAAGTTCATTTCCAGCCTTGTGGTTCTGAAGATGGGCCTTTGCCAAAGACTTTACAATGGAGGGAACCCAAGATGATGACATTGTATTGTGAATGATGACAACAAATTGGAGTATGAAAGATAAGGAGCCAGAGATGACACTGATACTCCCAGCTCCGGTATTTTAGTGCCACTGAAAGGAAACACGGAAGTTCGGTACAAATGCTGGTTTGTGGGCGAACTTCAAGCAATGGTCATAAATCTTGAGTTTAATGTGTTGGTGAATCACACAGGAGACATCTAGAAGGTGATTATGTTTATGCAGATATGGAGCTCAGGACAGGCTGAGGTATGCCTTGCCTATTTATTAGAAAAATCTACATTCTCTCTATAGGAAGGTATCTGAAAATGATGCTTTTCATTTAAAATTTTTTTTAACGTTTATTAAAAACCTTAGAGGCAGAGTGCGAGAGAGACAGAGAGTGAGTGGGGGAAGGGTAGAGAGAGAGGGAGACACAGAAATGAAGCAGGTTCCAGGCTCTGAGTTGTCAGCACAGAGCCTGACGTGGGGCTCGAACTCACAGTGAGATCATGACCTGAAGTCGGCCACTCAGCCGATTGAGCCACCCAGGCACTCCTGAAAATGATGCTTAAGAGACACCATAGGTGAATGGATCATTTAGCTGTGCAATTTCACATAATTATATAGAATAGGTATCATAGTTTTATTTCACAGATGAGAAAATAGAGGCCCAGTGTGACTTTATTGGTTCTCAGGGCCAGAGGTCGAACTTGAATCCCTGTCTTCAGTCTGAGTGTGAAGCTCTTTTCCCCAGTGTTCTGCTTCAGGGAACCGCGAGTCACCAGAATGAGACTCCTCTTTACCATAGGACTGACTAGCTGGCTGTGTAGCGGCAGAGAGAGTGTCCACCACTTGTCCTTGACTCAGGTGTGGACACACCCCCTCCCCAATTCCAGTTCCAGAGCTACCAGGAAGCTACCTGCTACCAGGAAGCCTCACAAAAAAATCGCAAGTTAACGAGGGCTGCATCTGCCAAACTTTCTTGGGTGGGCTGGGACAACGTACTTCCATGTACAGACTATCACAGCACTGCCCCCCCCCCCCCAGTGATGATGTTCACTGTGAGAAAGGCTAATGGGTAGTCAAGTGCAATGGCTTGGGATCTGGGAGAAAATGAGCTCAACAGGGAACCATGAATAAGTTGTTAAAGCTAAGTGGAAATGAGGAGTGGAGGGAATTTGGAGAGGCAGCTGAGGAAGGCATTAGGGAGCACTACGGCCACATGGGGTGAATGCAGTGAGTTTCCGGAGAGCATCTATCCAGCTGCAGCATTACAGCACCCCTCTTTGTACACTGCACAAAGAAGGGAGTGGTCACAGGAATGCTGGGGGAGCCAGTGTACGAGGACTATCTTCTGGAAAAGTAATTTCCTGTCTCATATAGCTGGCAACAGCACCTGCTAGACCTTCACCACGTTTCATGTGAAAGCTAAGTTTTACTTGCTATATGGGAAAGGCTGGCCAATAACTGCCCAGCACCCACAGAAGGTACGCACTGGGTCAGTTTTTACTTCATAGGACTGTGCCTTCCTTGCATTGGAAAGCTGAAGGAATACAGATTCAAGGGTTGTGATTTTTTTTTCCCTACTTGGAATTTTTGGGGAGGAAAAATTTTAGTAATTTGGCACTACTGGATTAGGGCACATTCTAGCAGACTAAAAATCAAAAGCTTTCCTATGGGGAAAGTCTCAATGTTGTAAGTGAGAGAGGGGACACCCGCATTACTGCCATAGAAAATAATTTATTAACCGTGTGTGTACAATACTCTGGTAGGCACTAAATCCTGGGGGGCTTCCCGTTTCAATGCATCGTCTGCTCTCTGCAGTCTTTCCCGTGTTCTGTTTGGCTCTCCACCTGCGAATAAAATGGATACCTTGAAAACTTCATCTTTGTGGAAGCTGTACCGGTACAAGAGAACGCTGCTTCCAGCATCCGCGCCAATCTTAACACTGCTGGGGAGGTGTATCAGGAGCCTGCCATCCTCAACTTCTCATTCTCTGAGCTTGTAAATAAAAAAAACCAAAAACAAAATCTTTACAGTTTCCACTTTAGACCAGGAAATCCGGGGAGCGTTGACAAGCAAGGTTTTGCATCATCAGCATAAAGCGTGCTGAGGCTGGTCTCTACCCCTTCCTTTCTCTCCCAGTCCCCCGTCCCCCCCCCCCCCCCCCCCCCCCCCGTGAAGTCTCACACTGCACCTGCGATACAAGTACACAGGCGCCTCGCTGCCCAAGGTAAGGAACCAGCCACACAATTTTGGATGTCAGCCCAAATCCTTGTAAATTTTACCTCTCACAGTCAGTTGCCATGTGACGTGCGTACGTGTGCTTTTCAGCTACATTTAAAGACAATACTTTGTTTTATAAGGTAAGTTGTCCTACATGGGCTTGGAGACATCTGCCAGGTCTAACCGCAAAGGTCGTCTGCTTCACCAGCATCTCGCAGAGGAACTCGGAGGAAAGGTGGCTCTCGATCCAGCAGCACCCGCCATCAGGCTGGGGAGTGCAGACCCCACCCCCCGCGCTCAGGCTCAGCTCCGTCGCCCCACAGCGTCAGTCTGACCCCACCGGATCCGTTCCGGAGACGGGCTCACAATCGCTCGGGAGGTGCTTTTGCCACACACTTCCAAGTGGGGGGTTGCTAGGATCATTTATTTCTCTTGTGCACATTAAGAAACCACCATTAGGTGTTGGTGGGAGGCGCCACTCTGCCTGAAGCCCAGCCCGTCCGCGGCGGCACGGCGCACACCGCACCCGCCCGGCTGCCTGAGCTCGCCCGCAGCCCCCTCCGGCCGCAGGTCCGCGTCGTCCGGGATCCGCGACGCGGCCCCCCGCTGCCCCTCCCCAAGCGTGACCCGGCCGCGGCGCCGGGGAGTGCTTTCGAATCCGCCGCGGCTCGCGCGTGGGGCTCCCTCCGCCGCGGACGCCCCGAGCGCCCCCCAGGCCCGGGCTCGCGGCGACGACGGCGCAGCTCGCTAGAGTTTGACTCCCGGGCGGCGGCGCGGAGCCGCGGGCGGCGGGAGCGAGGCGAGCCCGGCCGCTCGCCCTCCGCGCTGCGCTCGGATTGGTCTCCCGCCGCGAGTGCTGGCCGAGGGTTGGCTGCGGGCCGGCTGAAGAACAGGTGCACCTCGCCGCCCGGGCTCGCGGAGCGGCCGCCGAGCAGCGCGGCGCGCCGGGCCGGGCGAGCGGCGGCGGCGGCGGCCAGGCCGGCCCCCTGTGTCGGAATGCGGCTCTCCGGCGCCTGGCATCCCGCGGCTGGCCGGCTTGGCCCCTGAAGGCGGCGCGAGGCCCAGCGGCGGCGCGGGCGGGCGGGCGCCCGGGGGAGCGGGCCGGGCGCGGCGCCGCGAGGATGCCGGCGCGGCTGGGGCGCAGGCAGGCGGCGGGCGGCAGCAGGCGCGGGGCCCCGGCGCGCAGGAGGCCGCTTGGCGGGCTGCAGACGCGCCCAGCCGCTCCCTGACCGGCCGGCGGCGCCGGGGGCCCGTCTCGCCCCTCTTCCGCGCTCCTCGCCGCCCCCTCCCCGGCCCGCGTCCCCTCCCCCGCTCCTCTCCTCCCCGCCCGCCGCCCGCCTCTCGGGGGGAGGGGCGTGGGGGCAGGGAGCCGATTTGCATGCGGCCGCCGCGGCCGCTGCCTGCGCCCGAGCCCGCCGCCGCCGCCGCCGCCGCCGGAGCCCGCGCCCGCGCCCGGCCCGCGCGGCCCCATGCCTCTGGCGCGGCCCTCGGGGGGGCGAAGGTGAAGACCGGCTCCTAGGATGAGTGAAGGTGCGGCCGCTGCCTCGCCACCTGGAGCCGCTTCGGCAGCCGCCGCCTCGGCCGAGGAGGGCACCGCGGCGGCTGCGGCGGCGGCAGCGGCGGGCGGGGGCCCGGACGGCGGCGGCGAAGGGGCGGCCGAGCCCCCCCGGGAGTTACGCTGTAGCGACTGCATCGTGTGGAACCGGCAGCAGACGTGGCTGTGCGTGGTGCCTCTGTTCATCGGCTTCATCGGCCTGGGGCTCAGCCTCATGCTCCTCAAATGGATCGTGGTGGGCTCCGTCAAGGAATACGTGCCCACCGACCTGGTGGACTCCAAGGGGATGGGCCAGGACCCCTTCTTCCTCTCCAAGCCCAGCTCTTTCCCCAAGGCCATGGAGACCACCACCACGACCACTTCCACTGCGTCCCCCGCCACCCCCTCCGCCGGCGGCGCCGCCTCTTCCAGGACGCCCAACCGGATTAGCACCCGCCTGACGACCATCACGCGGGCGCCCACTCGCTTTCCCGGACACCGGGTGCCCATCCGGGCCAGCCCGCGCTCCACCACCGCACGGAACACTGCGGCCCCCTCGACGGTCCTGTCCACCACGGCCCCCTTCTTCAGTAGCAGCACGCCGGGCTCCCGACCCCCGGTGCCAGGAACCCCCAGTACCCAGGCAATGCCCTCCTGGCCCACTGCGGCATACGCTACCTCCTCCTACCTTCATGATTCTACTCCGTCCTGGACCCTGTCTCCCTTTCAGGATGCTGCCACCACCTCTTCCTCGTCTTCCTCCTCCTCTACCACCACCGCGCCAGAAACTAGCACCAGCCCCAAATTTCGTAAGTATACACCTGGTCTGAACTCTGATTTACTACGGAGTTTCCGTTTTGCCCTCCTGCTGTCTTTTCTCCCTGCCGCCTGTTTTCTAGCATCCTCCACCCTTCACCCTGGTTCAGGTCTGGAGCGGTGAATGAGATAGTTAAAACTGGCCGCAAGGGAGGAGAAAGGTGCAGGTCCATGCGGGGTCCGTGTGGGGGGGTGTGTGTGGACGTGGTGGGGGCGCTGGGAAGCGGAGAGAGGTCGTCAAGCTCCAGCCGGCCTACTTCATGGGTCCCAGATGAGAACATCTCTACAAAGGGTTAAGGCGAGGGCGATCTCTGCTCACTGCAGACCTGCTGGTGAGCTCCCGGATCCGGCTCCTTATTGAGAGCTGGGGAGGGAGGGAGGGCCGTCCCCAAAACACCGAGCCCTTTCCCCGCCCGTAGGAAGGCGAGAAAGAAAAGCACATGCAAATTGACCGACACTAAACCACAAAGGGAAGTTGTGTCCGTGTGGGTGTGTGTGTGGAGGAGGGAGGGCGGATGATATTTGATGGAAATGTTGATAGAATGGAGCTGTAGACTTCTAGCAGCCCTGACCCGTGCAGAGACCAGGAAGGGTTAATTAGAAGGCATTGGGGGAGGTAGGGAAAGGAGGCGATCCATGGCGGAGGGCTAGACCGATCACCCTCCTCTCTGCCCATGGCCATTCCAAGGTGTAGGGATGGAGTCTTTGGCCTCCCAGAGTGAGTTAAGTAGGGGGAGGTAGGAAGGGAGCCCTGCGGAGCTACCGCCTCTAGGGTCCTGACGGAGGAGGAGTTTTTTTTCAGCTCTGTCAAGCGTTTGCTTTTGTTCGTTTCCCAAAGGTGGGGTGTGAACCTCGTCTCCCCTCCCTCTGTGCCAGAAAAAAATGTAAGGGGAATGGGACAGTAGCCTGCACTCCAGGGGAGAACGTCCAGCCCTTTTGAAACCGGTCATTCTGTGAAAGTGGCCATCTTCCACCTCGGTGCGATTGCTGCCCGTACTGGCCAGTTTACCCCAAGAGTGATAGCTTTCCTATTTATTCGCATAGGTGGTGTATCTCTTCTCTGTATCTTTGCAAGTGTTTTGTGTGACTAATTGACCTCCCGCCCCGCCCCCCACCTTGCTCTTATTTTAAGGACATCTTAGGAAGCTTTTCAATCCGACCATTGATTAGGGGATGGGAAACAGTTTGCAACCTGTGAAGGTTATTTAGGACAAACCCCCAGCCTGCCAGTTCAAGTTCTGTGCCAGCCCGTTCTTCAAAAATTGCCTGTCCTTCCATCGTATTTCTGTTTTGAGCTATGACATCTGGAGAGGAAAGGAAGAGAGGGCTCATCGTTAACTCTACAGTAGGAATACCTGGGATGCTTTCAGTCACCCGGCAGTGCTTCATCTCCCTGACCTGTGCTCATACCCTGGCTGTTATTTAATGCTTGAAACTTTCACAGAAAGGATTTAGTGTGTTTGCGGGTAAGGTCCAAGAGAAAAATTCCTTAGTGCCCTTACTCTCTTTGGGGGAAACAAATGAGCTGAAGATAAATTGGGAGTCAGGGAGAAGAGGGGAAGGAGGGGATCTGCCACAAACCAGAATGGCAATCAAACGGGTAACCTGCTGCTTCCCTCTCCTTTGGCTGAAGCAATCATTTTTGAGAGCACATTTTCTAAGGAGGTGTTTAGAGGCTTCTCTCGGGAAATCTAGCCTGAGTTTTGTGGAGGATAAAGGATGTGCAAATGTATGTGTGAACATATTCAGTGGTTTGAAAATATATACGTGTCTATTCAGAAGACCTCTGATTTTCATCTTTTGATGCAGTTGATACGAATAATGGAGTGTGGGTGTACTTCCCAACTGTGTATGCGTGTATATGTGGTGTGCCCGTGGAGGGGGAGTCTTGCACACGGTGGGGGGGGGGGCGTATATCTCATGTTCTTTCTGGATTGATTTCCTTGCGTTCCATTCAGGAGGTCTTTAAAGAAATGCCCAGGGTAATTATTTCTCCCCCTCCATGCTCCTTTTCTACATTTTGTAGAAGGGAATGGCAGCCTGTTTAATAAGTAATGATTATTGACAAGGCTCTCAGCCCTAAGGAAAAGGTGGGGGGGGGGGATGGAGAATCTGTAAATGGTGTCAGTGTTCACTTAGACATATAAGCAGTGTTTGTTTTATGTGTATCTGAGGTTCAGCTCTTGCTCTTTTTTGAACCTTCAACAAGGAGTTGAATTAAGGGGTAAAACACAAGTATGCAAATCCAATAGAAACTGACCTGGTTTGTTTATATTAACAAGGGGAGTTTTAATGAAAGAAAGATGCCAGTTCCATAAAAGAGGAATTTAAATAGATACATTTATATGGTAATTTAAAGAAAAGAATAGTTTAATTATTGTATTTTTTGGCCCAAGATCGTAAGATGATTAACAAAAGGGTATAAGGATTTCATTTGAGGGATTGTTAGCACTGGTACTGTGGTCTGAACAGTGGCCTGAATATCTGGCATTTTATTTTTCATTTGTTTTGATTATGTTACTAAAGTTCTCAGGAGAGAAATTGACCTTTTTCCTACTTTCCTGCCTTCAGACTTCAGTAGATTTTTTTTCCTTCCTTCCTTCCTTCCTTCCTTCCTTCCTTCCTTCCTTCCTTCCTTCCTTCCTTCCTGTCTTAATGGAAGTCATGAATTGTGTTGTAGCACCTGAGGACAGCTAAGCATGAGGCTCTTTTTTCACGACTGAGTCACAAATTCTTTAATGGCCAGGGTCCTTGCTCTTGAATTGAACGTCTCCGAGCTTACAGAATGAGTGTCTGTGTTTGTCGCAGGTCACCCAGTAGGATCCTGTCTGTAAAGGCAACACAGCTCTCTGGAGGAAAACAGCATGGTTCATTTAGAATCAACACACTTGCTGATGGGTAGCAGGCAGAACAAAAGCTGTTTTTGTTATGGGGCAGGCTCAAGTTTAGAAGACTAATTTCTGTAGGATCAAAGACAAAGATTGGACTTCAAAGGTAGAGGGAGAGGAAGGGCTTGAAATTAGTTGACTATTCTCTTGTTCTCCTTGAAGCAAAACATACTTGAAGCATTTTGCCCCTGAAAGTTTAGATTAGTTCACAAATTTTTCAAGACAAAGGGAGACTTAACTACAGACAGTAGAACAGTGATTTTGACTAGCGTACGAGCAGGCTTTTAAGAGCACATTGAATTATATTTTTAGACTTGAAACTTATATGTAGAATGTTGTCAGTACAAGTCTTCAGGAAGACTTTACTCAGCAGGAAGCACTGTCTTCACAGTTAAACGCCCAGAGTCATTGGCTAAATTCAAATACTAAAGGCAAAGAGCCACTTTTAATTGGTTAGTTTTTGGGTCCTGTTTGGAAGGTATATAGTTCTTTACAGTAAGTAAGATCACAAATCTCAAATAGTGTATTTAGTCCAGAAATACATGCACAGTGTGTCCTTGATAATATTAAACATGGTTTGTGGGTGATTTTAATATAACCAAGTCTGTTTCAATAAAACTTTACCTAATCATACCTGTTGTAATTTTGAAGACTGTCATTGGTGACTCTGAGTATTTTCCTGTCTGTCCTTTTCCAAACATTTCAGTCTTTCAATAAGAGTACACTCCGTTGTTTTATAGCCGCCTTAGGTATAATTTGTTTAAATAAAGTTACTTCTGTGTATTGTCTTCTGTACACATGAATTGATTCCATCAGAGGAATTCCAGCAGAGTTAGGTATGGGCCCCCATCATGTGCAGTGGCCAAAGTGAGAGGATTCGGAGCTTGAGATCTGTATTTCTTATGAAATCCAACTGAGAGGTGTTTTTTTTTTTTTTTTTTTTTTTAATGAGCACATGCTGCAACTTGAGTATGCTTTGATTTCCTTGGCCTTAATACAGGATTATGAGATTTTTCCGCTTGAATCAATTACACTGTATGTTTTGATCTTTCGACAATTTATGTTGTATTTCATCATCATCCTCACACGTAAAAACAACAACAACAGAAACAAAAACAACAAAACACCGGGCAGGGGCAGGTGTGGGCATAGAATTGGCAAGATTCTTTCTCAAGCCATTTTTAGTTTGGTGTTAAGACAGTGTGGTTTAAGCCTTCTTCTCAGTTCTCCATGACTGAGATAAGGGGTTGGGAATGCTGTTATTAATGGAGAGTACCTTTTGCAGGGTAGATGGGCGGATCCAGCTGTCTTTAGTATTTGTGCTGTATTTCTTGGATAGCTTTTTTTAACAGTGTTGAACGCAAACTCCTCAGGATGGGAAAAGTCCCAACAGATAAACAATAGAAGCTGGTTTGTGGGGATTTCCCTCTGTTTCTAAAGAAACCAACTTTGTAAATCCAAGCTGGGCCATGAGCAAGAGTTCAGGCAGTGAGTGTGAACACAGCACCATCCTGGGAGGTCTGGTGAGCAAGGGAACAGGGCCTCCCTTCCATCGGGAACACTCCCCTGGCTCTTCCTCTTGTCCACACCACAATGAAAAGGAGGCAGATCTTCAGCTTGCTTCTTTTGTAGAAATTCTTTCCTCATAGCCTCTGGTATCCAGTGCCAAGCGTATCTCGATATTCTATCTGGGATGTTGAAAATGGAACATGCAAGTTGGCCCTGAAATATATAAGAGAAAGGGAAGAGCCATAAATCTGAGTCTGTAAAAAGCATTTGAACTGCTTGTGAATAGAATGGAAATTCATTTTTCTCCCTGTGAGTCTGTTTTTATCCTCAGACTTTTGTGTTGGGTGAGGCAGAGCCAGACTGGGTTGACAAATACCACTGAGACATTTTGAGATCCTACAAGTTTTTCCTGTCTACACCCAGAAAAGCCGTTTCCTCCAGAACCATCTACATATTGAGAGGGCAGGGGGGAATACCCTCCGTTTCAAGTTGTGTTCTATCCGGATGAAAATGTACCTAAATAGGTGTTTTCCATTTGTGCAATTATTCATGGAAGATTGAGGATAGATGCTTAGTTTGATTTTCTGTCTTTACCA